GTGCACGAGCAGCTGGATAGAACAGGTGGAATTTACGCAGCTCATTTACGCACGTTTCCTGAAGATAGAAGAGTTTGTTGAATCTGACGTGACAAGTTCGTACGAACCCTTTGTACGAACAAAATAAGAGAAATTTAGGATAAGAATACAAACATGTTCTTGCATGAGGCCCATTGATATTCACACATAGATTACTGCATCACAACATGCACTCACCTTTAAAACCAATAGAAATGTTATTCAAAAAATCTTAAAAAATCTTTGATCAAAAGCCTCTGTCATTCCATCAGTGTAATATTTTAGGAAAATATACTATGCTCAATTTAGAAAATTTTATTCATTTTAAAAATTTTTGTTTGATATATAAAGTTCTTAATGGCTTAACTTCACCTCCTAACCATCACATAATCAATACGTTTTACATTCAGAGATTTCTCTTTAAATGGTTCATAAAAGTCTAAGTTCTGGTTAATGAGGTCATTTGCAGACAAATAAACAAATACACACACACAGGTAAACACCACTGGTTTCTAAATGAAAAGGTTCAGTTTACCTGCAGGACTCTGAGGAAACGTTCATGCTGCCTGACGTTGTAGAGAGCCTGTTTGAGCAGGACGACGGGCACATCACACTGTCTGGACTGGACGTTGGGGTTTGTGAACGTCTCCAGCACAGCCGTGTATTTCCACACTAAACTCTGCGTCCCACTCAGCTCGGTGTGGACGTGTGCTGCTGTGACTGGAAGGGCTTCTTTCAGAGAAGAGGGCACTGCCAAGAGAACGAAAAGCAGAGTTCTAAGTGTTGGTTGCATATGCAGAAGAATGTGGACAGAAGACACTATCAAGAAAAAAAAACACAAAATAAAGATCAAACTACTTTTTATCGTTTTTTACAGAACATTTTTCAATCCAAAAAATGAGAAATAAACAGAAGGGATTTAAAAAATCTAATAAAAAACAACATACAAGAAAACAGCAGCCTTTTTTTTTTTGCAATACCAGGCAATAAGCACAGCCAACCATAAACAAGAGCTGGAGAACTGGTGAGAGAATACAATTACTGTGTTTCTGGTTTATTATCAGTAGTGGGCAACACTAATCCAAAAATTAGCTCCGCAATTTCTAAAGTGCTTATGAAAATATTTAGGTCTGCAATTTCAAAAGTGCTTACGCCATAGAAAAACTAAGAGAAGCTAATTTTAAAGCGCAAGTACAATTTGACACTTACTAGCTGGCAACAACTCATGTACAATACATGCACAACACTGCCAACTAGTGGTGTATGAACTCTTTTACAACTTAATCCCACAACTGCTGATTGCTGGGGATGTGTTTTCCTGAAACAGACCTTTAGCTCCTGGTGTAA